TCCAGTACCTTCTGAAATTTGGAATCTTAAACGTAAGAACTTGAAAGTTCGACTTAGCAAAATGTGCAAGAGTCATTTCCTAGGTCCAATTGAACATTGCTTGCCCCTCGATGTCATGTTCTCTAGTGTGCAGTTGGGTATTAGGAATGTGTTGAATTTAAAATGACCCAAGACAATGGGTATCTCGACTCTTGCATTGACAAGAATGCAGCAAAAGGCAATACTTGGTATGATTTGTAGAATTCAAAGAACCATCGAGTCCTTGAACTCATGTTATGCCTGAAGCCATCGTGCTAAGGAAATGTCTATCTGGACATCACGTATTGCGTCGCCCTCCACCTATGCCTGAAAGGATTTATAGGTGTTGAGCTGAATATTAGCCTCCTGTGCGACTTGGTGTGCAGCTAAAAAGATTATCTCCAGGATGGAAACTACCTCGTTGCTACTAAGCTGCAAAAGATTTGCTGGTCGCTTCATGCAATTGCCACAATTGATTTTACTTCGATTCTCCATAAATTCGGAAATCATAAATACAGTGAAATCGAGTAAATATCGAGCATGTGACATCTTGACCTCCTAGCTACTTGGTTCCATGTAAGTTTGTTTTGCAATTAAAAAATATTCTACAAAATGCATCTTGATCCCTACTCGTGTTTAGCTCAAATAACTCCAATTATAAACATTGTTAATGTCGATTTAACTGCATCGTTTCATTTTAAGAACCGTTTATTTATGCATCATTAATCTCAATCACTCAATCAAAACATTTCGTATCTCTCTTTTTGGCATGTCAAATGCAGTTATTAACTCGTTCTTGTTCGAGTATTATTTGCATCATTAACCAAAAATTTGAGGGGATTAGCATTGATTGAGTATGATGGATGCTAAAACAAAATACTTATAGATATGATTTTGACTTTGATATAAATTATTTAATTGATAATAACTATTAAGTAACAAGTTTTATATAATCGATTCAACTAATGGAGTTCAAGAATGTGACTTGACACAAGCTTATCATGTAGGTTAGAAAAAAAATATTAATCTAAAACTTGCACTATGGGAAAATCCATTTTTGGCCATGACACAAATAAGTCTTTGGTGAAGGCAAAGTGGCAGGCTTAGAAGTTTTGCTCACTTGACATTATTTGCAACAATTCAAACTTTATCAACGTTCTCGTTCGTATCTCAATCACTAAAATAACAAAAAACTACACATGAATCAAAAGAACTTTTTACTAAATAATAATTACCATAAATGAGCTATAAAAATGCCCAAAAGTGTGAACTACTCGAGCAAATATAGAAGTACATAAGTGAAGTCGAACAAATTTCTAGCAATATCAAGCCTAGCAATTTAAATTTCCCGCGATTCCATAAACACATCCATATTAAGCCTAACTTTCCCACAGACATCGATTAGAACAGCTATACAAGAATGATGACCCGTTTTATCACAATCCCCGGAATTAGCACCAATAATACTCTTAAGTAAGGATCATCAAACACTTCTAAAGCCTCATTAATCAAATCAAACTTCAAGTGGCAATGCATCAAGAACTAGAGATGAACAAATCTAACATTAACCCAAGTTTAAACATAGAGATGAGAAATTTTTTAGAAAAATTTACCCTATTTTCAAAACTATTCACTATTGAAGTTAGTCTAAGAAAAGTCTTTAGCTCGAGAAATGATAATTTTATGAAAATGATCGAAGACAGTAGGATTCAGGTTTGACACATCTCTCGATTTTACTTTCTCTCAACCACTCACTCTTCCCTCCTACCAAACTATTTTAATCTTAAATATGTAATAGTTATATAAAACATTCCATACCTTAATTACTTTATGAATCTGAAAGAAGTCTTTAGAGACGTCAAAATGGACAGGGTATCAGTGAAGCTTGGACGCCATGCATCGCAGCATTATAATGGCGTGGACTGGACTGTACTGTCCGTGCCTTTTTACAAAACGTTTTAGTGAAAAAGAATTAAAAAATAAACATTGACGAACACGAGCCATCCCACGGTCAGGGATTTACACAGGCAGGCCAACTTGCCTGTCTAGACACGAGTAGCCTTGACCAAAATTTCTTCTAATCAGGGCATCTGCAGACAATAAATTTCAAGTTATTTCTTTACTAATTAGTAATTACACACAGCCATGTCAACTTGATAATACAACACATCAATGTATCATTAAACGGCTTTTTTCTTAGCAAAAGATGGAAATATAAAATGAATTATTCTCAGCCAACAGAGTATTCTATAACATGTTTATAACTGAATTATAAGGAATTGGTTTTAATTTGACACCACCAGCACCCTGCCCCCCCCCCCCCCCCCCCGCCCCAAACACCACACACAAAATAAATGCATAAATATCACCAACATCAACATTATGAAGTCTGCATCAAAACCTCAGATCCTTATAGTAAAATATCACGCGAACTTATTTTTTCTGCTGCTTATTACTAAAGAGTTATGATTTTCCAATACTCGGTAAAAGATACTGATGGTTGACTGCAGAATGTTGTTACAGGCAATTTAACTCAAAAAGTTAATGAAAGCATCATGAAGAGAGACGCACATGCTCATAAATCGGAAGCACAACCAAGAAGCTGTGGGAGTTGCTTTCTCCTCAGTAATCTTCGAATTTCATTATTGTTAACTGAACTGCATAACGAAAGACTAATATGAGGATATAAGATAATTCAGATTTCGAAGGACCCAAAAAGTTTGTATGATTGACAAGTGTTCTCATACCTCAAAAATGAAATGCTACAAATTTACTTCTAGACTCGGTTTAAATAATCAGATCAGTACTGTAGATTGGCACCACATCTGAAAATGACAACCAATTGTCAGTTCCTGAAATTGTATAAGATTGGAAGCAACCCTCCAACTATGCTGTCTTTGAGGATTATGGTCCATGGTACAAAAATTATGCCACATAAAAAGGAGGTGTCTAATTCTCAAGCCCATATTCCATGTTTCTTGACCTGTTTGGGAAAAACATCTGTAGAAGTCACATGAGACACTGTGATTTCCCAAACCTAAACATTCAGTTTGTGGTAGGAAATGTTGACCTCTCAAAAAAAAAAAATTAATTACAATTGCCCGAGGATAATCAATTTTACAACAGCAACAGACATTTCTATATTCCAGAACTTCTCGAAAACAACCTAAACTTGATACATCCTTCACATTAGTATGGCCAGGTAAAAAGCATGACTACAGCATTTCATCTTTTTTATGATCTTGGGTAGAAAACTTCGGAATCAGACTTAGATATTCTGAATAATTTGCATCTTTGGTCAAAATCTCTTTAACTGAAGATATCATGAGTTCATCTAGGAAGATATTTCTCTCTACCATTTTGTGAAGAAGTTCAACCACTTTTGGTGCATCATTATAATTGCAAAATGCTTGCATAAGTGTGTGAAAAGTGAACACGTTGGGATTGGG